ATACAATTGTTGGATAAGGTATTTAAGTCCATAACTATTATGGAATGTACTTGACCCAATTTGGCATGGTCCATTTGGGTTGCATGGCATCATGCATTTGGATAGACTAAAATGAGAGAAATAACACTGATGGTTTATTAATATATTATAAGTTCTAATATATTAATAATATTATTTAATGATTATTGATCAAGAATTAATTTGGAGTTAATTAAGTGATCAAAAGAAGACTAATTAAATATATGGGTTGATTATCCATAACTTGTATAGTGGGCTTAAGGCTTCATGGTTTATCAAGATGGGCTAAGACCCATATAATGCTCCTTAGGAGTTACAAACCCATGGGTCATGGAAATTAAGAGTCATGTCATATTAGGGTTTACATGGTGTAACCTAGATGTAACACACTATATAAAGGATATGAAGCTCACCAAAATCAACCACAAGAAGCAACATAAAAGGCAAGCTGATTTCTAAGTGTGACATTCTCTCTCAAATATTATTCCAAGAGCATTTGGTGTTGTGTGAAACATTTGAGGCATCACACTTGGGGGGCTAGGCTCTCAAGGTTTCCAAGGAATTAAATCAACTACAAGGCATGTAATTCTAGCCATCTTTTATGTTAAAGTTCCCTATGTATGCTAGATAGGATTATGAGCCTTGGAAAAAGTATTTTGCATGTATTCTTAGACAAACATAGATCCAAGGTTTTCTAGGGTTGCATGTACACTTAGGAGTGTTAGAATTCTCAAAACCCTACAATAATGTTGCTTATATAGGGTATAAGTCAAGAAATTTGGGTTTGGTGCCGAAATGAGTACACCATGCATACCCCTTTGTACACCCGATGTACTAGAAACTCTTGCGACCTTCTTACCCTGTACGCCGTGTGTACTCGATGCCTCTCAAAACCCTAGAATTTCTTCTGTCCATAAATCCTTTGTTCTAAGTCCGTTCCGATGAACTTTATATCCAACAAAAGGTGGCAAGAAGCCCTATGCTTCTAACAACACACCCAATCCTAAAAAAACCTCCTGAAGAAAATCCAAAATCCATAAAAGATTGAGATATCAAATTATGATTATACCCTTGGCCTCCAAAGACACAATCGAAAACACTTGGATCGGTTATACCATGATACCCACATCCGAAAAGGGCTAAATCCTTCCCTTCCCAAGGCCCTAAGCCTCATGAACACTGATGATTGGGCTGCAGTCCCGAAGAAAGGAGCAAATCCGAAACTGAGTGTTACAACTCTCCCCCACTTAGATTAGATTTCATCCTTGAAATCTCTCCTTACTAACACTCCTTACAAAACAACCATCCTAATGATCATAAACGAAAATTCAGCGCACAAAATAACCTTCCCAAGGCAACTGGAACCCAGACCAAAACTTCCATCCCGAAGACAACAATCGAAACTTCAGCCTATGCAAACCACTTCTACCTTTTTGAGACCTGAAATCTATAATGGTCGGAGTTCCCAATAGACCGTCCATACTGAAGCAACTTTATGCCAAACTATCAACAAATGACAGACCAAACATAACACTCCTAACTTTGATCATACTGTGGTCTATCCAGATCTACCTAAACCATCCTTAAAATAGTTCTTTAAGTCTGGGAAGGACGAATCCTCAATCTTTTGAATCAAACCAATCTTACCTCACCTGAAATCCGAAACCTAAAGTCTCAATGGTCTGACTCCCTGTCAATCCTCCCCCTCCGAACTGACACCAAGCCATCCTCATAGAGCGTCTTACCAAATAAATGCTTCCAACCCCTAATCACATTGCTGCTTAAATGGGAAAGAAAGTCACTAACCCTATACAACGGCATAACACTTATATTCGACATAAGGTTCAGATAATCCTTCGAGTAGAAGATTCATCCTTGCAGCGATCAGACTCCGACGAAAGTTGTGCAACAGGGTCAAACCAATTACTCTGAGATCATTTAATCCCGTTGCGCGTGACTTATGATTTCCCAATCACCCAGATACTTCATACACACATAGAATCCCACGTCACCAATATTGCCCGAAACACTGAAACTGATCGAAACTCTGATACTAGGAGCCTAAAACCTCCTCACAAAATCTTCATTAAAACTGATGAATATCCATTTGAATCTACCCCTAGTCCTTAACTGGGCATTACCAAAACTGTGAAGAATGATCCTCGAAACACACTGACCGGAAACTTAACCCAAACCGAACCATATGATGAACCAAAAATCTTAACACCCATGACTCCTTGCTATGCCATTACCACCCACTGCTAGCAACGACGATCAGACCAAGAACTTTTGCGATATATCCGACCCTTACTGATGTCGGTGCACTCCCACCAGGGCACCCACTCGATACAATCACCAAAATTTTTTTGACTTACGACTACATAAGGAATTTCCAACTTGAGATTCACAAATCTAACAACCGCTTGCGAACAACTGGGATTATTACATACAATCTACCGATACTTTTTGATTGCTGACTGATACTTCCCTTAATCCTTGCTACTTCCCTTATCCAACTAACAGATTTACGACTCACCCGAACCCCATCAACGCATCAACCCCAAAAATACCACAAAAGAGGAAATGAACCATATGATCCCTAGGCCCATGGCCTATGATTGGAATTCTTTCGATAACACGCATGCCTTGACGACACTCTCATAGCGCCACTGAGCACCACATAGTTGTTACCCAAGTAATCCTTACAAAGACACAATCACACACGATCCGCAGAAAGGATAATGCTCGAACTCTTGATCCAAATCGGAAGCTAAAACCCAAGAGAACCATGCACATAACTCGAACCAAGAGCCCCAAAGCTATCTAGCCCTGCTCACACGGAACACCCCCATACCCATACTTAATATACCCCAAATCTCATCTGAAGATTAAAGAAACACCATAGATAATCGACATGCTACCTCAACCAAAACAGAGAATCTTCACGACCGGTCAAAACAAGACCACATACTGGACTGAGCGGATTCCATCGCTAGCCCACTAGCTCGAGAAAACCTTCAAGATAATCCTGAAGGTTACCAACACATGAGTCTGGTATGATCCAATCTTCCCCTCTACCATTGATGGTAAGCACCAAAAGGTCCAGTATACTCAAGATTCATATTAAAGTGATATTGTTAAATAACATATGATACCAAAAGGTCCTGTCGACCCCGCTCCTCGGGTGTTACAACCGCATCATCACCCAGAATTGCAAAGTAACCACCCACCATAATCTTCAACAATCCTTTCCCTCCTGTAAAGCATAACACTAAACATAGGTGTGGACATCATAGTTAACATATTTTCGGCTCCTCTCTCCAACACACCACACGACCTTGCCAAGCAGGTCACAAACATTCCACCATTAATCTTTGAAGTCTTCCTATTTTTTACCGCTCCCTCGCCGAAATACTTTGCCAAACAATAAGGAATATTGAAAATTGCATTTGGCATAATAATGCACCATAAGTAGAAGATATCAAGAGTCCATACTTTGTCGTCATCTTTTCCCATATTTATGGTACTAGAAATCAAGTGGTGAATCAGACGATGAATGGGGGACCGTATGCTCCCCTCCTGAGTTGCCAAAAGAATGTAGACTCTATTAGTTATTGTGTTTCACCATGTTGAACCAATTGTACCCTCCGGAAAATCCTTATGCACTACAAGAAAAAGACCCTTTTACGACATGCAAACCACGACACTCATTGATTTATGTTATGCAAAAGAGAGTGACATTAAAGAAGTGTCATCTCTTCAAAAAATTTAAGGATTTAGGTCACGCATTATTGCGTGCCCTTAAATTAGTGTCTAAAAAAACACGGAGGGCACCTATAATAAAATGTGTGTCGTCTAACGATGTCGCTTTATAAATTTTAATGGAATGCATGTTACATCCATTAATCGCCAGGGGAAAATGAAATCCTAAAAAATTAATAACCATGCCTTCCTTTTTTTTTCCTTTCCCTCTTGCCCTAAGTATCAACGGTCCTTCCTTCCCCTTCCTAACATTCACTATCGCCTACTTCTTCCCTCGCACTTTGACCATCATTACTTGTCATTCTCGGTCGTCGATGTCGATTAAGGCAACAGTAGACTTGCTATTCCATGTAAACCCTAGACCTCATTTGCAGTTCCTAGGTTATGGTCCAATAATAACTTTCCCCTTTGCACATGAAATTACCATCACCATTATAATTTGCTTAATTTTTTTCAAACTAATAGGTTTTTGTATATGAATTAACTGTATCAGGGGTATGACTCAATCTTTATGTTCACTACTTATCAATCCCCACATTGATGAAGTAGGTTGAATATTTTTTATGTTATTTTGGCATTATCAGAGGGTATTTAAATAAGGATTCCTATTGTGGTATTAACATTGTAGCTATCATTTGGAAGAGAGGGAGTATATGTTTAGCTTCAACTTGATGTATAAAGGCCATGTTTCTTTCTTTTTCCCATCAATTGTTTTTTATGGATAAGCAAAATATTTAAAAATATTTCAGAAAGGGAAAAAGTAAATGTGAACAAATTTGTAAAAGGTTATACTGAATGCGAAATCCCTGATTTTATTTATTAAGTTGTTATTTTTAAATTAAGTCAAAAAGAAACTTATTGGATTAAGGGGTCGTTTCTTTTTTTTCCCTACTTAAGTCTTGTATGTGTATAGTGGTTGAATGGCTAATGATGTCTATATGGATAAAGTGCTTCATACATAACTCATAACTCATAAGGTCTGTTTATTTTCTCTTTTCTGGACCGAATAATCCTCTTGAATGAAAATAAATGACCATTTTACCCTTAAATTTCATCACACAATTTTAACAACATTCATCAATTTGTTGATATAGTTAAGTTTCTTTCTTTTTGTATAATGTATATCAATAACTTATATATTCTTGATGCTAATCTAGCACTACTCATATGCAGATAGCATGACAAGGCCCTTATTACTAGTTACTGCATCTTTTGACAAAATGGTTCTCAAGAAAACAATTATTGTTGATGGTGATCTAAAAACTGGTGGTTCTGTTGTATTGGTTCAGCGTTCTTCTATTGAAGTTCAACTTGAAGTCACTCAGCTATCAATCGATATAATAATATGATTAATATCTTTAAACTAATGTTTAATTTCAATACTTTTTAATTTTTTTAATTGAAAAGTGAAAACCATATATTGGTTCTGTAGATAGCACTGTAATTACATAAACAGTAGCTCTATCAGCCAATTTCATATTTGTAGCCCGTGATTCCAAAACCGGGAAAATAGCCCCTGTGAATCAACTCTCTCCCCAAACAGAAACCAAAAAATCACTTTACAAAGAAGCAGATTTAAGAAACGTAATGAGACAATTAAAAAAAAAGAAAAAAAAAGGGACCTGTCGTTGGCGGAGAAGGTATGCGTACATATTTGAGCTTACCAAATGTGGAAAAGACTTGAAGGGGCGTTTGGTTTGTGGGATTTTGTTGGATTTATCAAGAATTAGAATTCAATTCCAAATAAATTCTATGTTTGGTTGGAAATAAGTAAGGATTTGAATTCAATTGAAATCCACAAAATACCCCAGCCATAGGAATTCAAAAATCCTTTCTAAAATCCATGAATTTAATTCCTATCTTCTATGACTTGTTAAAATTACATATATCCCCATTAACCTACTCATTAAATTACACAATAAAGTATCAGCCCTAGATTTGTGACCTATAATTACTTATCCATTTCTCTCATGGGATCACTACATTGAAGGCACTAAGAGAAAATGTGTCATTTGGGAAGGTATTACATCAAAGACCTAGTTTTCTTTTAAAGGAAATTTGGAATTCAGTTACTTCACTTATATATATATATATATATATATATATATATATATATATATATATATATATATATATTGTTTTCTGAAAATGTTATATAGGAAAACAATCTCAAGGTTGAGCTTGATTCCTTAATTGGACAAGCTACAGTTTTGGCTGCACTTGCATTTGTCTCCCCAAAGCTGCCTCTTGGTTATCCAGCTAGGTAACAGTTTGAAATTTCTTCATAATTATGATGTTGAAGTGGTAAATAGACAATGGTTTTTAACTTTTTTATATTTTTGTGTAAAGATTTCCCAGAACATTGCTTGATGTAGCTAGAAAAATGCTAATAGAAGCTAGCCGAAACACCGTGGTTGCTACGGTTGAAAAAGAAGTTGGATGGTTACTTCTCCCATCCTTGTTGACTTCCATGCCAAAGGAGGTATAACTGTTATTCTTCTTTAGTGTCATTATAGTAATTCTTGATTCTGAAAACTAAAAATTGTTGCATGTGGTGCATAGGAGATGGAAGACCAGGTGTTTGATATTCATTCATTATGGGCTGATGTCTTTAGTGGTCATAGCCAAGAGCATCAAGCAAATTCATATGAGGATCTATCTTATAAAATAAGGTTAGCCTAGTTTTCATAAGTTATGCCCTTTTTTTGGTAAAATTTGTTGGATTAGTGTCTAAGCCAGTAACCATATTTGGTAAATACTTTACCCGATTGTGCATGGTCCTTTTGGGTTGCCTTCACCAAAGCAACTTGACTGGAGAAATAATAGAGAAAGAGATTATTATGATTTATTAATATGTTATAAGAATAATATATTAAAGGAGAAATCATATTTGTTTAATTAATATTGGTCAATAATTAATTAAGAATTAATTTTGTGATCAAATGTAATTAATTAAACTAGAGGGGCTGAATTGTAATTATGTGATAGTTACAAAATAGGGTAAGGATTATCCTAAGGATAGGTTGGACGAATTTAAGGTGATAAGGCCTTAAAATTCGTCCATGATAAGGATTCAAGGCTTATCTTATGGGTTGCTTGGTGGGCAAGCAACTAGATAAGGATAAGGACTGAAACCCTATCTCTACACCTATATAAACACCCCTTTGGCTCATGATTTCGTGCATACCTTCCCAAGGCTTCTTAGGGACGAATTTTTATACCTCTCCTCTCTTTCTATAGCCTCTCCATTTGCTCTTGGTGTTTGTGAGCGATTAGAGGCACTACACTTGTGGTGCTTGCTTTCAAGACTTAGGGTTTGAAGATTCAAGTTGTTATTACAATATAAAAACAAGAGGTATGTAATCTAACCTTCTTGGTTAATTTCAAAAATAGCAATCATCTTTAGGGTTTTATTATGTGTTCATAATGTTGTGTATCTAATAGTGAAAACATAGATCCAATGCTAGGGTTGCATGTACACATAGGATTGTTTGTATAAAACCCATCAGTGGTATCAGAGCCTTTGGTTAACTTGATTTCAATTAGTTTATTCAATTGTATGAACTTGACATTTTAGGGTTTATTGCCAATAAACCCTAGGAGGTTAGGGTTTTTCGAGATTAGGGTTTGTAAACCCTAATTTGCAAGAGTTTGAATAAGATCTTCAAATCCTTTTTAAACCCTTAAATTTCGAAATCTAGGGTTTGTCTTAATCCCTTGATTTTCGAAATTAGCCTCTTCCCCAAGATAAGATCCTAAATTTTAGGGATTTGGATTATCCAATATCTTGTAATTATCTTCTAATTGTTATATATGGTAATTATAGATTTTGCATTATCCTAACCATAATTTTGAAATCTAGAGAGATAATTAAGGGATTAGGATATCTTAAATGTATAAATAAGAATATCCTCATGATTTAGATAATCCCTTATGATTTAATAATTAAATTAATAGTCTAATTCAAGATAATTATTAAATCAAGAGTTTTAATATTTAAAATTTAAATGTCATAAATTCGAAATTTTTTAAGAGAAATTAAAACTAAATTGTTTTGACAAGTTTCAAAACTTGCCCTCAAGTTTTGGAATTTAAATTTTGATTAAAAGTTTAATTTTGATGCATATTTAAATTCTAAACACTAATGTTTTGAAAAGTTTCAAAACTTGCCCTCAAGTGTTGGAATTTAAAAGTTCGTTAAAAGTTTAATTTAGGAATGTTAAATTCTAAAACCCTAGTATTGTTACTTAGGCAAAAGTGAATTGATGCAATTCTATGAAATTACACTTTGTGCCCTTGCGAAGACGTTAGTGGAGCGTGTGTGGTTTACCGGAACACTAAATGGTTCTAAGCAAAGGTAGAAAAGGGTGACTCAATGTTTGTCATAGTTCGGTGGAGCGTGTGTGGTTTACCGGCAGATCGAATAGGTGACTGTAACATGTGAGGGCACCATGTAAGTTTGCATGGTTATTCACACCCGCTTTGTGATCCTCGGCATCCCAGTCACAAACAAGAGGGGCATATCGAGATTTAAACATGCCATTGAAAGTTCAATGAATCTCAAAGGATCTAGGAGTTTTAATATATTTAAAACTTAAATTTCTTTTTCATTTTTCGTGGTGGAAATTAGTGAATCGTCATTCACGTACCTTCAAATATTCTGCAATTAGGGTTATGGCATCCCTCTCCCGAGTTGTGGAATATTGTGTTGGGTCCTAGCCTTAGTATTTCATTTGGGTGATTTACTAAGGACTCAATCAATCAACTAACTTGAATTTGTTTCTCCCGTTTTGTAGATGTCAAAGTTCGACAACTATGGTCTTCCCAAATCCCGTGGAACAAGCATTCCACATGAAGATGGTATTCCACGATTCGATCGAGGAACAAGAAATCATGCTTCACTTCCTCCACCTCCTCCACCTCCTCCAATTGTTCTCCCTAACCCACAAGATCTAAGAATTGAAAGGTTCAATATCACTAAGGCCCTATTGGAAATGAAACATGAAGATGGTAAATCCATGTGTGCCCACATTCTAGGAATGAAATCACACATCGATAGGTTGATTATGTTGGGTGTGTCATTTCCCGATAAGTTGGCTGTGAACTGGGTTCTGCAGTCACTCCCTGAATCTTATAATGAGCTCAAAAGAAAGTATTATATGATGGATCATGACGATAACCTCATTGACCTAACTTACATGCTCATTGCTGTTGAATCAGAAATGATTTGGCGAAGCAATGGAGCATATTTGTTGGGAAACTCAACCGACCATGCTTCCGAGGACGTTCTAAGAGAAGCGACCTGCGTTTGCTGCCAAGAGAAAGGGCGTTGGATAGAATTCTGCCCCAAGAGCCTGAAGATTCCAAAGATGGGAGAGTCAAAGAGTATGGCTGTGCTTCAGGTAAAAACCCACTATCTAACTCCATTAAGTTCCTATTCGTTGATTCTTAATACATGATGTGATAAGATTGCATTTGAATGTTTTGCAGGATCGGTGAAAAGAAAGGAAGCTTGATGAAAGAGCAAGATGAGTCTAATCACAAAGAAATGGATCTCGATCGCATGGACTTGAAGATTAGATTTTGAGCTTATATATTTATGATAGAATTGTTAGGAATATTCGACTACATAGTTTTCAATGGATTTTGCATTGTAAGGACAAATGTTTTCCGCTGCTTTTTTAAATAAAATAAATTTTGTTTGAATTATTTATTTATTTGTTTATTTCTTTGCGATGAAATCATTATGAAAATTGATGTTTACATATTTCTACAATGAATGGATATGATTCTTATTTATGGAAATGTCGAGAATTTACCAAATAGGGAGAGTTTCTCATCGCCCAAATTTCAATTGGACAGAAATTTGGAATCACGCAACTTGGTTGCATGATGAATGAGAAATTTCATATTTGGAAATTAGACTAATTCGTTGACAAAGTGTCAAGTGAGGGACTAGGAGATCAAGCACACAAAGTTGTGTGTTCATCAAGTCCACCATAAGAGTAACAAAGATATTCGTCATGATTTACTAAAGGTTTAGTAAATATGATAAGATTAAGGGTAATTCGGAATTGATTAAAAAGGTTTAAATCAATGGCAGAACGAATAAGAAGAATCAAGTAGGCAGAAAGATAAAAGGTTCTTCATTCTAAGAAGAAGGGAGAGTACCTTTTATGTTTTATGATAGGTCTTAATGATTAAGAACCATATCTCAAATGATCCTCTAAGTGAGTCTTAGTACAATTGTATGTTTAAGAAGAGGAATCAAGAATTGAAGAAATGGTTAAATCAAGAAGTCAATCATACTTCGTTCCAAAACACACGAGTTGAGGTTAACAACCTATCGTGTTGACATTATTTTGTTTCTGTGTTGTTCCAATTGAGTTAACTATGCATGTGAGTCCTATGAGTTCTCATGTGAATGCATAAAAGGCAAGGACCTTGATCAATGGAAAGTACATTGATAGGAAAAGGTGAGTTGCTTAACTACTTGGAAGACATGGTGGGCAGCCGTGCTACCATAAGGCAAGAAATCAAGATTAAGAAAATTCAGTCCATATGAGTTTGAATTTGTCGTAAACCTTGGTTTTAACAAATTCACATGGATAGGAACACATACACCGTTTAAATCTAAGTGTCATAAGATTTCCTCCTTCATGAAAATGATTGTGAGAAAATGCTTCCACTAAGAAAGATTTTAAGAAGATAGTGATTGTAAAATTGCATTCTCCAATTCGATTATGGTTACGGTATCCCTTTCCATGATTTGAATTATGAGGTTTGGAAATTAGTCTTAATTGTTTAGACACACATATGAACTATCTAAGGCAAAGGTTTATAAGTTCAAGAAGCGTTGATAAAAGATTATCAAAGCACTAAGTATTAGAAACATGAACTTAAGAAATTCAATAAGTATTGTTTTTCTGAAAGTTAAGTTGTTTCTGAATACATGTCAAAGCTAGTAGGAGCATAAGTGTTATATTTTATAATAATCATCATGATAGTGGGAGCATAAATGTTATGATTGTATGATTATTAAGGCACGTATTGCAAGTTGGCAATATTAATTATAGAAAACAAGAGTTATACCTTGCAAAGTCGTAAGGGTTGTAAAGTTGTTTTGCTATAATTAAGGGAGAGAATATTATGCTTCATTTCAAATCTAAAGGCTTACGTTGAGAAATGTTAATAAATTTAGTCAAAGGTACATAGTGTGTTCTTAAAATTTCGATTATGATTACGACATTCCTCTTCACAATTCGAATTTTGAGAACATAGCAAATAAAACATTATGCATCGTGTCCCATACGCTTCGGGTATAGTGTCGATTGCAAACGCTTTAATATTTGACCATTCTAAAATTTTCCAAATGTCTAGCGCATTTAGAGGGAAAAGGGACTAGAATCGGTTTTGACTAAAATAATTAAACAACTATCAAAGGACAATCCAAAGTTCGACGAGGATTGGTTGCGTGTGAGTAGTTGGAAGCATGGTATTGGATGGACCATATCGACATTATAGAAAAGATTCTATTAAGAATGAGTTTTCATATGGAAAATATGGAAATGTTTCCATATTGGATGGACCATATCGACATTATTATGAATAAATAAGATTATATTAAGAATAAGTCGTCATATGGAAAATATGGAAACGTGTCCATATTGGGAATTGAATAT